TTAAAAGAGTTGAAAACTCAATTGTAAGAATTGTTAGAAAAGGAATAAATTTGATTGAGTACATCACCTTGGGGAGCTCTAGTGTTATTTGTAAAAAAATAAAGATGCATATTGAGATTATGTATTGATTATTGACAATTGAGTCGAGTAACCGTCAAGAACAAGTATCCCCTCTCGAGAGTCGATAGTTTATTTTACCAATTACAAGGTGCATAAGTGTTTAGTAAGATTGATTTGAAATTTAGGTACATCAATTGAAAGTGGTCGGTGCAAATGTATTAAAGATCGCTTTTTGAACTTACTATGGGCACTATAAATTTCTTATCATGCCTTTTGCATTGAGAATGAACCTATAACTTTTATGGCCTTAATGAATAAGGTGTTTTAGCCTTACCTTCATAAATTTATTATTGTATTTATTGATGATATTTTGGTGTATTCACAACGAGAACATGCTAACCATTTGAGAATTATGATGCAAACAATGAGGGAGAAATAGTTATAAATTGAATAAATGTGAATTTTGGCTTGATCATGTTGTATTTTTTAGCCATATAGTATTGGGTAAAGGCATTGAAGTAGACCTAAAGAAAATTGAAGTAGCATTAAATTGGGAACCATTAAAAAATGTGACGAAATTACGTATTTTTTAGGATTAGCCAAGTATTATCGATGCTTTATGGATTGATTTCCTATAATAGCCACACCACCGACTAAACATGTTCGAGTATAAGTGGACTGAAGCATGTCAATAAAGTTTTGATGAATTAAAGGCAAAATTGACGATGACTTTAGTATTAACAAGTCCGACGGGTAGATGTGGTTTTGTTATTTACGGTGATGCTTCTTATCAAGGTTTGGAATGTGTTCTAATGTAGCTTGGAAGAGTCATTGCTTAAGCTTCTATATATTTAAGATAACTACATATTAGCGATGGAAAGTAAATTGCGTCTCTAATAATTAGCAATGAAAAGTAAATTCTGTTGCTAAATCAAACATAAAATGTCATTTTATTTTCTCTAAATTTTGTAGTTTAATCAAATTGTATTTTAGCTACGAATATTAATTCTCTTGCTAATTTTCGTTTTTAAACCATTGCAATTTCTTCATCAATTTTGGCATGTTGCAATTTAGTGATTGAAATGTATCCAATGCTAATATTTCATCACTATTACGTCTCAATTTCATATCAAAATAAATTTATCGCTATTCCATCGCAAATCCTTCATAAAATAGAAACGATTGATATTCCATTGCTAATTTCCATCGCTAAGTGGCAAATTTCTTGTAAAGAATTAAAAAATTTATGAAATCAAAATAAGTAAATTATAATCGTTTTTTAGAAAGAACACTATAAATATTTCATTTTATATTCAAAATTTGCCTCAATCATAAATATACATTTTAAAAAATACTATAAATATTTTATTTTATACTCGAAACTTTTATTACTATCGTAGAGATAAATTTAAGCATATAAAGGATATGTTGAAAAATATATATATAATTTTATCTTCAACTTTTTTTCAATTTTTTTATTTTCATCTTTTATAAAAAATGACTGGATTTATCTTCACTTTTTTTTTCGGTTTTTTTTTTTTTTTTTTTTTAATTTTTAGAGTATATTTCTTTAAATTCGATAAAAAAAATCTAGATTAAGATGAAAAAGTAGAGTAGAGGTATGAGATTAAGAGAAAAAGAGAAGAATTTAACACCGTTAGTTTAAAAATTAACGAATATATAAAATTAAGACAAAAAAATATAGAGGGAAGAACTTAAGATGAAAAAGACTAAAGAGCAAGATAAAAAATAAATAAAGACATAAAGAAATTCAACAACCATTAACCCATTTGTCTATGGGATGAAAGAATATGCTGATTGACATAACGGATAAGTTGTTTTTGTATTTCCTTACCATTCATCTCACTAATATGTTGAAAAAAATGATAATAATTGCGGAATTGAAGATGAAATAGAATATCATAGTCTTTAATTACATGCGAAATCTCTCCGCATTATCTTTTAAAGTGATTTTACAAATTTTAGTCAAATTAAAAAATTCATCGGTGTTTAGGTCCATCACTAATAAGAATTTATCTTCCCACTTTTGAGTCAAATTAAAAAATTTATGAAATCAAAATAAGTAAATTATAATAGCTTCATTTGAGATATTATAAAATTATAAATACCATTTAAAAATTTAATTAAAACCCTAATCATTTTTTTTAATAGAAAGAACACTATAAAAATTTCATTTTATGCTTCAAATTTGCTTATTATCATAACGACACATTAAAAAAAATACTATACATATTTTATTTTATACTTAAAATTTTCTTACCATCATAGGGCCAATTTTAAGCATATAAAGGATATGTTAAAAAAATGTAATTTTATCTTCACCTTTTTTTAGTTTTTTTTTATTTTCATTTTCAGAAAAATTACTAGATTTATCTTCACTTTTTTTTTCATTTTTTTCTTTAATTTTTAAAATTTATTTCTTTAAGTTTGATTAAAAAAATAAATATTAAGAAGAAAAAAGTAGAGTAGAGGTATGAGATTAAGAGAGAAAAAAAGAACAAGTTAACACCGTTAGTTCAAAAATTAATGGATAGATAAAATTAAGACAAAAAAAATATGGAGGGAAGAACTTAAGATGAAACAGACTAGAGAGACAAGAAAAAAAAAAAAAAGGGAAAAAAATATCAACAACCATTAACCCATGTGTCTATGGGATGCATGGATCTCGCTGACCCACATAGCATATAAGTTCTTCTTGTATTTCCTTATCATTCATATCACTAATATGCTAGAAAGATGATAATAATTACAAAATTAAAGATGAAAATAGAAGATCATAGTGTTTAACCGTATGCTCGAAATCTCTCTACACTATCTTTAAAGTGATTTTACTGATTTTAGTGAAATTAAGAAATTCATTAGTGTTTGGGTCCAACACTAATAACAATTTATATTTTCACTTTTAAGTTAAATTAAAAAATTTGTGAAAACAAAATAAGTAAATTATAATAGCTTTGTTTGAGATATTACAAAATTATAAATATAATTCAAAAATTAAAAAATTTAATTAAAATTCTAATAATTTGTTTTAGAAAGAACACTATAAATATTTTATTTTGTGCTTAAAATTTGCTTACTATCATAAAGACACATTTTAAAAAAATGCTATAAATATTTTAATTTATATTTAAAATTTTATTGCTATCACATAGACAATTTTAAGCATATAAAGGATATGTTGGGGAAAAAAAATTTATCTTCACCTTTTTTTCAATTTTTTTATTTTTATTTTTCAGAGAAAATGACTCAATTTATCTTTGCCTTTTTTTTTTCTAGTTCTTTCGTAATTTTTTTTAAAATTTATTTCTTTAAATTTGATTAAAAAATCAAGATTAAGATGAAAAGTAGAGTAGAGGTATGAGATTAAGAGAAAAAAGGATACGTTAACACCGTTAGTTCAAAAATTAACGGATAGATAAAATGAAGATACAAACAAAACATAAAGGGAAAAATTTAAGATGAAAAAGACTAAAGAGACGATAAAAAAAAAAAAAAAACGAAATCTCAACAACTATTAACCCATTTGTCTATGGGATGCAAGGATATGCTGACCAACATAACATATAAGTTTTTCTTATATTTCCTTATCATTCATATCATTAATATGTTGAAAAAAATCGATAATAATTACGAATTGAAGATGAAAATAGAAATCGAAGTGCTTAATTGCATGCAAAAATCTTCCCACACTATACTCAAGGTGATTATTACTTATATTATAATGCCGTAAGGATTTTGACAATTTAATTTTAGGATTCACTTCTTGCAACCGTGAAAGTTATAGGTAGCACTTATGAAAATCCTTCGAGAGAATTTCTTTTGAATTTGTAAAGTTTTAGAAATAGAAGAGTTTTGAGAGAAGGATTGTAGAAGAAATAATAGGTTTTGCTCCATACAGTATTCCTCTATTTATAGTTTATTAGAACCCTTTTATAACAAATGTAATTGTTGAAAAATTAATTTAATTGAATAACTAACTATTAAATTCTAACAATCATAATCTAATAATTATATTATTTGAAACTTAAAGCTGACTATCACAGAAAATAATAATTAAAAACATAATTAATTGATATAATTATAAATTTAATTAAATCATGAAGTAACTTAATCACACATACTAAGTTCTAAGTATTAAGTGCTAGTGTTTATATATATATATATACACACCAATTTAGGTATCCTATGTGCTTGCGTTGTCGTCAACTGCCTAAGTTTGTTTCCTATTGCAACTGGACTTCCTTTTGGTCTTGTAACAGTGTTGAAAGTTTTAAACTTTTCCCAAGGATAGCTTTTCTCTAGAAGATTGGCATCATTTGGTATTTGTTATCTCCTTACGTGTTCATAAAGTTTTAAAATTTTGTTAATTTTATTTTATAGTATCGAAAATATTTTTCAACTAAGGGTAAATTGCTTGTACCTTCAGCAGATATAGGAAAATTATAGATACACCTATACATCATTAAAAATTTCAAGTATCTTGGGACTAGGAAATGGTGGATAACTATAATATTTATTAATACCCAATATATATATATATATATATATATATATATATATATTATGAGAATGAAACTAAATTTTCAAACTTATAATTAATTGAAACTCGAAATAACCTGAATTTAATAACTGAATTCCGACCCACCAACTCCATCCCATTGTCTACTCTATTTTTTTTTTTTTTTTTTTTTGAAAAAATCCACAATTCTAACTCATGGAATTCATGGATAAACATGAGAGTTACGTGCGCATGGGTGGAACTTGGTGGCGTGTCCACGTAGGTAATCACCTGCGATGAACGGGCTAGATTTTTTGCAGTAACGTACTTGCAGACAAACATGGAGACTGACAGACACAGGAATCTGTCTGTTCTTGAGAACCTGAACTCCGTTTCTCATTTCTCTGTCTCCTACCTCAAAATGGCAGCGGCTGCGGCTACGGCTGCGGCTAGTTCTTCCTTCACTGCTGCTGCTCGCTCCAGCCCAACCTCAAAGTCCCAGAAACCACCACCAAAATTGTCATGCAACACCAGCTTGGGCTTTCTTTCTTCTTCAATCTGCGATACCTTTATCAAACCACTTAGAGCTAGCACCAGCAATAACAGTAATGTTTCTGCTAGTGGTGGCTCAGCTCTTGGTGCTAAAATGGTGTCTTCTTCAGTGCCAAGTGTGAAGCCATTGATTTCTCTTGATTTTGAGACTTCTGTGTTTAATAAAGAGAAGATCTCTCTTGCTGGTCATGATGAGCTATTGGATTCTCATTTCTTCTGGGTCCACATTTAGAAAATAGATTACTTATTGGTAATGGAATGTAGTTAATTCGGGTTTGGTAAAGTTTGGATGCTTGAGTTATTTTTTTCCGTGGGTTTTATTATTTGAGTAGCTAATTTGGTCTGTTTCATTTGGTTTAAATTTCGTTGTTGTTTCATCTGTAATTTATTATTTGGATTTTTGAATTACTTTTTATGGGTTTTCTTATTTTAGTGTCTCCAATCTGGTTTGTTTTGATAAGTTTTTGGGTTTCTGTTTGATTATTTATTGAATTTTCTAAGAAAGAAGTGAACATATAAAAAGAAAAGTGCATCTTTTTTTTTTTTCCAAGTAAATATATATTAAATATTTCATCCGTGACAATGAGACAGACTTTAGTAATTTGCTGTATATTGTTGGGATTTTTTATTTTTTATTTTATTTAAAAAGGTTATTTGTATGTGTTTTTATTGTAGTACATTGTGAGAGGAGGAAGGGATTTGTTTCACTTGTTGCCAGATGCATTCAAGGGGATTAAGCAGATCGGTGTCATTGGTTGGGGTTCCCAGGTAAATATTACTTTTCTTTTGAAAATTTTCGGTTTTGGTTGATTTATGACTATGCATACACTGTCTTAAATTTGCGGTATCATATTTGTATGGTTTGGCACTGTTTGGCACTGTTTGTGTACGCAAACTCGCATACATCATTTGTTATTTCGTTTTGAGTACTGGGCTATCGGAACCTTTTCTTGCCATGTTCAGTAAATCTTTTGCGGTGTCCATAGAAACAGAGTCTACGAATATGTGCAGTTATAGAAATATCGCCATCTGTTTATGATGTTTGTGTGATACCTAGATTCCTCCGGTCTTCCCTTTAATGTGAAATACAGTGTTAACCAATTGATGCTTTATTTTACTATGAATAAATGTGGATTGGTGAGATTAAGTTGCTAACAAGTCCTGATTCTTTATAAGGGCCCTGCTCAAGCTCAGAATCTAAGGGATTCTCTTGCTGAAGCCAAGTCTGATATAAAAGTGAAGGTAATTTACACTTAACTCTTTATGTTTTTGGCCTTTAGGTGTTTAGCAAGTTGCTTCGACATTGATGCTTTCTCCGGTTTTAATACATGTTTTCCCATGGTTGGTTTGTATGCTATAGATTGGACTCAGGAAGGGTTCTCGTTCTTTTGCTGAAGCTCATGCTGCTGGTTTTACTGAAGAGAATGGGACTTTAGGTGATATATGGGAAACTATTTCAGGTAGTGATCTAGTGTTGCTGCTGATTTCTGATGCTGCACAGGTTTGTTCTTGAAGTCCATTTAAGTTTCTACTCAAGAGTTATGGTTGAAATTATAAATGTGTGTCCCTGTGTTTCACTATTCTTGGTTTTACTGCTTTCTTTCAATTAAGTGGCTGTGGAGATTCAAGTTAAAGTAATGTATAGATTTTGGTATGTAATATTTCTGCTCATGCTGGGTGCAGAATAAAAAAGGAGAAAGATCTGGCTTGCTCCTACCATGCCGTGCAAGCTGTGTCCGGTTTTCATCCCCTTTTTTGTATGTGCGTAGAGATATGATAAAAGGAGCATGGAAAATCTACTCCATAGCCATTCTAAATGTGATAATACAATGGCATTAATTTCCCCGAAGGAAATCAATTCAAAATTTTCAAGTAAACTCTTTATGAGTAGAAATCTATAATCATTTCTTAGTTACTGTGCTCTCAAGTCTGCTAAATTTGTTCCGTGTTGTGATATAAATCATTTCCTTTTCAAAATATCTTTTGATTCTTGTTGTATTGCAGAACAAAAGAAGGGAAACGATACTGAATCACTTATTTTTCCTAAGCACTATTTAGCTCTTATTTTACCCCTGATTTTCTGCAAACCAAAGCAATGTTAAACGCTTTGTCATGCATTGGGATACCTTTGTTAGTTGTTTCAAGCTAATGAAATAACACCTCTTTTATGTGTTATATCTGACATCTTCCATATTTTTGCAGTCTAATGTTTGTCGATAATGTCATTCTCTCTCTTATGTTTTCCTCCTTTGATGAATTCTGGTTTTATCTCATGCAACAGGCAGACAACTATCAAAAAGTTTTCTCTCACATGAAGCCAAATAGCATCCTTGGGCTTTCCCATGGATTCCTTCTTGGGCATTTGCAGTCAATGGGACTTGATTTCCCAAAGAATATCAGCGTGATTGCTGTGTGCCCCAAGGGAATGGGTCCATCTGTAAGGAGACTCTATGTTCAAGGCAAAGAGATCAATGGTGCTGGAATTAATTCCAGTTTTGGAGTCCACCAGGTTACTCCTCCCCCAACACACACACACACATGAAAACCCTCCCACATGCAGACACATCTCACCTGTTGGCATGCATTAGTGCGTATTTAGTCTCACCATTTCTTCTGGTGTTTAATGTTTCCTCTGTATACAGGATGTTGATGGTAGAGCTACAGATGTTGCTTTGGGATGGTCAGTTGCACTTGGTTCGCCTTTCACTTTTGCCACTACGCTGGAGCAGGAATACAAGAGTGACATTTTTGGGGAGCGAGGTGATTGTAGTTCCTTACGTCATTATTTATTTTTGCTCCTGCTTTATGCCTGACTTTTGCTTTGATGGTTTATAGGCATTTTACTTGGTGCTGTTCATGGAATTGTGGAGTCCTTGTTTAGACGGTACACTGAAAATGAAATGAGCGAAGATGAGGCTTATAAGAACACTGTTGAGTGCATAACAGGAATTATATCGAAGATTATATCAACCAAGGTGCCCTGATATAATACTTGAAATTCATATTTCCCTGCATATCTGTATTGTTGTTGTTTAATTAGTTAGGGCAAGCATCCATGGCTTAATTTGTCATGCCCTATGTCATAACAGGGTATGCTGGCTGTATACAATTCCTTATCTGAAGAAGGCAAAAAGGAGTTTGAGATTGCATACAGTGCCTCATATTACCCTTGCATGGAGATCTTGTATGAGTGCTATGAGGATGTAGCCACTGGAAGTGAGATTCGCAGTGTTGTCTTGGCTGGGCGTCGTTTTTATGTAAGTTCATTGCTCTACCTTACTAATATGTGATAAAAGAATTTTGAAATTTGATATTTTTATGTCTTTTTTCTTCATGTTGAAGTTATGATCTACTTTTTCCTGAGATGAAATGTATTGAAAAGTTGTTTAAGTGACTGTGCTGTAAATTTTCTTTGCATTTTGCACAATCATTTTACAGGAAAAAGAGGGTCTCCCAGCATTTCCAATGGGTAAAATCGATCAGACGTGCATGTGGAAGGTTGGTGAGCGAGTCCGGTCTGCCCGACCAGCAGGGGACTTGGGTCCATTGTATCCATTTACTGCTGGTGTCTATGTGGCATTAATGATGGCCCAGGTATGTAAGCTCCTGTTGAGTACACTGTACATTGGGATAATAAAAGACTGAGCTACCTGGAAACAGCTTATAGTTCATGAAGGTTGCTTTTGTAGAAGCCAGGCTTATTTGATTTTCAAAGTTGAAATCATTGAACAATCAGTTTTTTTTTTTTTTTTTTTTTTTTTTTGATATCTAAACCAAGTTTGGCATCTTGGAACCAGAGAAGAGGTTCATAGGTTGTGGTTTACTAATGTCTTCACTTTTCTGCTGTAAGATGTCTAAAGCTTAGTTCTCTTGAATTCCAGATTGAAATATTGAGGAAGAAAGGGCACTCATACTCTGAGATCATTAATGAAAGTCTGATCGAGTCTGTGGATTCCTTGAATCCATTTATGCATGCCCGTGGGGTTTCTTTCATGGTTGATAACTGCTCAACCACAGCAAGATTGGGATCAAGGAAATGGGCTCCTCGTTTTGACTATATCCTCACCCAGCAAGCATTGGTAGCAGTGGACAATGGCACTCCTATCAACCATGATCTCATAAGTAACTTCCTATCGGATCCAGTGCATGGAGCTGTTGAAGTCTGTGCCCAATTGAGACCTACCGTCGACATTTCAGTGCCACCGGATGCTGACTTTGTGCGACCTGAGTTGCGTCAATTTAGCAGCTGAAATATCAGCCTTCAAGCTTGAACTAGGTAGTATAAATCTCCATATAGGTTGAGGGAGAAGCTTGCTTGAACTTAATCCAATGTGACTTTGTAGTGTTATGATGTCTGTCTTGTTGAAGGAATAAGACATCAGTATGTATCTTTTTTTCCTCGGTATTGTAAGAGTTTGTACTTTTATTAATAACCCTGGTATCTTTTGATTTGGTCAAGAAGTTCAAGGTTTGGTTCTATGGTGGTGTTTTCTCCTCATTATTGACCGGTGCATCTCTGTGCTTACCAATTTATTTGGTTGCAAGGTTTGCTTCCTTATGACAGTTGCTTGGCCGGCGTATCTTTTATACCCATTTATTTTTGCTGCATGATTTGATTGGTTTTTTCAGTTATATAATCTATTTAAAATCTAAATATTTTGTCAAAACAACATTGTTATATCAGAGAGAAGGAAATAATAGTATAATTGAAATAATGAAACTATATGAGTCCTTGTCTGTGCTCTTCATAAACGACAACTAGTTTTCTACGAGTTCTGAAGGCATAATTCTCCACTCCTAGCCAGTTTTGAACGTCTTTACCTAGGAGTTTACCATTGATTCTTCATCTGTATGATCTAAAACATGATTGATCTATAAGAACTTGCATGATAAGGCCGGACAAGTTTTTTGCTTCTTTGTCTGATTGATATTTTTGGAGCTGCAATATGGCTGTGGCTACATCCTTCTCTGATATCCTCTCCATTCCAGCACCATCTAAAATCACAAGAGCAGCATTTGAAATCCTGAGTACCACCAAGTTGGGGTTTCTTTCGTCTATTTCTAAGGATTTCAAGCCACTTAAAGCTAGGAATATTAGTGATCCTGGTGATGGCTGCTCAGCTCTAGGTGCTCAAATGGTGTCAGTGCGTAGAGTCAAGCCTTTGATTTCTCTTGAGTTTGACACGTCCATCTTCAAAAAGGAGAAGATCTCCCTTGCTGGCCAGGACGAGGTATTTCACTTCATTTCTCTTTGAATTGATGTCTAATAGTCAAATGATTAGCTTGTTTGTAGTTGTTGGGGGACTCAAAAAATACAGAAGTTTAAAGGGTTTCTTTTATTGTCTTGTATAGTTTGTGCTTTTAATTTGTTTTCTGTTGATGGGAGTGGTTGGTGTTTACCTCTATTAGGAAGAGAAATGAAGAATAACTGGAAGAATGTGACTTCCATATCTAAGGAAATTAACCACAATTTTGCTTCATATTTCTCAGATTGCTGTTTTGTAGTAACAAAAAAGATAGGCTTAATAGCCAATATTGCATGATTTTCGATAAATGTTATTTATGGTGGTTAGTCTGTGTTGTATTGTAGCACATTGTGAGAGGAGGAAGGGATTTGTTTCACTTGCTGCCAGAAGCATTCAAGGGAATTAAGCAAATTGGTGTCATTGGTTGGGGTTCCCAGGTGAATGATAACTATTTTACCTTTTATCTTTGTTTGATTTACGGCAATAAGCATATTGTTCTTAATTTGCAGCAAGAGATTCCCTGTAAATTTGAATTACTTGGCTTTGTGTGCTGAGGAAAAGAGTAGGAAAAAGAAGGAAATTTTGCAACTCCGTGCCCTTTATTTCTCATTGAATGTGGTTTTAACTAGGAAAACCTTCAATTAGCCCAGTCTAGTAAATCATGTGGGGCATCCTTCTATGTCATCTGCGCTATTTTCAACACTAACATGCTTCATTTTATCATGGCACTTTTCATTTGGTGTGACATTTCAGTGTCTGAACTTTTGAATATAGTATGGCCTGTTGATGCTCTAATACCATGAACAAATGCCGGGAACTTTAGCAGAATTGCTAACTATAAATTATTCATCATAAGGGTCCTGCTCAAGCTCAGAATCTAAGGGAATCTCTTGCTGAAGCAAATTCTGATATCGTAGTCAAGGTATTTTACAATTTACCTGTTGATGCTTTAGGTTAATTTTCAGCTATTAATTATCCTTCTGCTTGGATTGGTTGATCAATCTCTCATGAACTTAACATATAATTTGTTTTCTGTGTGTGTCACATAGATTGGACTCAGGAAGGGCTCGCAATCTCTTGGCGAAGCTCGTGCAGCTGGTTTTACTGAAGAGAATGAGACTTTAGGCGATATGTGGGAAACTATTTCAGGGAGTGATCTGGTGTTGCTATTGATTTCTGATGCTGCACAGGTCTGCTAATATGATACTCATATTTGCACTCATTAAGACCTTTTTTGGTTGAAATTTCAGGCTATCTAATATGCCAGCCATCCCTTTCTCTCTATTCTTTTCCTTTCAACATTTCTAGTTTCATCTTCTACAACAGGCAGACAATTATGAGAAAGTTTTTTCCCACATGAAGCCGAACAGCATCCTTGGACTTTCCCATGGATTTCTTCTTGGGCATTTGCAGTCGATTGGACTTGACTTCCCAAAGAACATTAGTGTGATTGCTGTTTGTCCCAAGGGAATGGGTCCATCTGTTAGAAGACTCTATGTTCAAGGAAGAGAGATCAATGGTGCTGGAATTAATTCTGGTTTTGCCATCCACCAGGTTCTCTCTCCCTCCCTCTCTCTCTATCTCACAAACACAAAAGTGTCATTGGGGTTGATTTCATTTCAACGTCTCTTAGGAGTTGATTATTTACTGTATTTATTCATTTCATTTCAACATCTCTTAGGAGTTGACTATTTACTGTTTTTATAGGATATTGATGGCAGAGCCACAAATGTTGCTTTGGGATGGTCAGTTGCTCTTGGTTCCCCGTTCACGTTTGTTACTACACTGGAGCAGGAGTACAAGAGTGACATATTTGGCGAGCGGGGTGGGTGTAACTCATATTTTATTTTGTTTTCAATGCTGAACTCCTGACTTCTGCAATTTTTTGTCTGTAGGCATTTTACTTGGTGCCGTACATGGTATTGTGGAGTCCTTATTTAGAAGGTACACTCAAAATGGAATGAGTGAAGATGAGGCTTACAAGAACACTGTTGAGTGCATAACAGGAATTGTATCGAAAACCATCTCAACTAAGGTTCTTCTTTGTGAAATCTTGGAATTCACATCTCTTGCATATCATGCTTTGCATGCTTATGTTCCTGCATTAACGTTTTATTAAATGAGAAAGACATCAACGGTTATCAATCTTGTCTTGTAACAGGGCATGCTGGCTATATATAGTCCCTTGTCTGAAGAATGCAAGTTGGAATTTGAGAGTGCATATAGTGCTTCGTATTATCCGTGCATGGAAATCTTGTATGAATGCTATGAAGATGTAGCCTGTGGCAGTGAGATTTCCAGTGTTGTCCAGGCTGGACGTCGCTTTTACGTATGTTCATTTTCTCATCTGTTGTGTTTCCAAACTGACTTGCTGCATTTCTGTTTGAAGTCAATGATCTCTCTTTGCCTTGTAGCTCGTGAAATGAATCTCAGCTTTTTTTAATGTGATCGTGCTATTTATTGTTTATCTTTACATTATCATTTTACAGGAAAAAGATGGTCTACCAGCTTTTCCAATGGGTGAAATTGATCAGACGCGGATGTGGAAGGTTGGTGAGCGAGTTCGATCTACCCGGCCGGCAGGGGATTTGGGTCCATTGTATCCTTTCACTGCTGGGGTCTATGTGGCATTGATGATGGCCCAGGTATTATTCTCCCTTGATGGGTTATTAGGATGACAAAAATGCTTACCTTGGAACTGTGCTTCAATTTCGTGAAGGTTGGACTTGGAGCCAAGTCTATTTCATTTTGGAAGTAGGAAATGAACCTGCAATTATATATCTAATGCATCCTTTTAAATTCCAGATAGAAATCTTGAGGAACAAGGGGCACTCATACTCTGAGATCATTAACGAAAGTGTGATTGAGTCTGTGGACTCCTTGAATCCATTTATGCATGCTCGTGGAATTTCCTTTATGGTCGACAACAGCTCAACCACAGCAAGATTGGGGTCACGGAAATGGGCTCCTCGCTTTGACTATATCCTCACCCAGCAGGCATTGGTAGCAGTAGATAATGGTTCGCCCATCAGCCGTGACCTCATCAGCAACTTTCTATCCGATCCTGTGCATGGTGCTATTCAAGTCTGTTCCCAATTGAGACCAACAATTGACATTTCAGTGCCACCAGATGCTGACTTTGTGCGACCTGAGTTACGATAATCTAGCAACTGAGGTCTGAAAGGAGAACCTTCAGCATGAACTAAGCTAGGGGAATTCTTCCTTGTAAGTTGATGGACAAGTATGTATTTATTTAGTCTTTTGGAACCTTCCATACGGTTATACCAGCATTCTAGTTTTTTTCGTCCATCTCTCACAAATCAGTTATATCAAGAATGCTTAATCTGCTCAGACATGACAAAGTTGGAAGAGAAAAAAACACAGGATTTACAACTCAGCTCAGGGTGGTCTTCACTGTGTATGTTTTTGCCTAGGTAACGTAAAACAAAGGAAAAGAAAGTACTAAAATGGGGGATGCATATTTGATTACATACGTATGATATGTTAAATGTATCCTGGAGATTAATCAGTTGGGTAAGAGGCTTGCTTTGCTATTCCACAAATGTTTTCTTTTGCATTAACATCTCTCTGCATCATTATATATCCTTCTTCGGCCCCATTTTGCACTCCATGAATTTTTCACAATCCAACTTCAAATCGTCACCAAATCCAACCCAACAACCGCAACACCATGTTCTATTCAGTCCCTCAAGCTCCAGTAAAGATCCCACTCAGTAGAATTGGAACTCAAGTCCTCGAGCATCAATGGCAACAGAAACTGGTTGGTTTTCAACTGCTTTCATCATTGCTGCCTAGTGATGTGGACCACAAAGCCTTGAAATTTATAGAGCGGCATGATAGGGTATGGTGACATGAGTTGGGATTTTTTTGTTGATTTTTTTTTTTTTTTTTTGGGGGGGACCTAATTTGATGTGAAACGGGCCAATGATCAATACTCCTAGGTTTTGCTCATGATGTCTGTGTGATTTTTGCAAAAAAACATCGTTTATGCTCTCAAAATGACAATTTATTATTCTGCCGGAATAGTAACCTCTTCCGTATGGAAGTTTTGATTTTTTCTATTTTACTTTGGACTTTTAGTATTTGTTTACTTTTCAAATTGCTTGAAGGTTTTGATCTAAAATTTACTATTTAAGTAACACTTGTAGGCGGAAAAACACCACTTTTTGCTTGATTAATAAACTTTTATGAGAAAGTATCTCGGTTTTTTCAATTGTCGGCATTCTTTGAATCAATGAAATTGAAGCCTATTCTCTAGTATTTATGTGCAAATTAACAGGTTATAATAGATGAGTATTGAAATATCAGATTAATAGCATTTATCTTTTCCTTCTTGTGATCTTTCGCTACATCACCTAGGCTATTGGTTTCCACATCTTCATAACCTTTTTTGGCTGTGTATTGTGCTTCCTTCTCAGTATTGCATGTGCCATTGATTGCATTGCAAGGATAGTTTGCTTCAAGCGTTAGGCCACGTTTTACAACAAAGTCAAAGTCATCATCTAGATCACCTTGCAGCCCTTATTCTCTCCCATGGTGTTGCAATCAATCAACTTGTTCTTGCTCAGAAAGCGAGTCAATCTACCCTTTGTTATTTCAGTAAGTCCATCCATGGCTGCTACTGCTGAAAATGCTCAGTAGCATCCTACCAGTTTCAACAAAGAAAAAATGAACTCTCCTGTCTGGTAGCCTTGCTATTGGGCAGGTAAAAAAAAAGAAGAAGAAAGAAGCAACCATCTGATTCTGTTCTCACAAAAAGTCTGACGCATGCCACAACTTGTTTGGTCCTCGATAGGCATTACAGCTACTTTCCTTCGGCAATCTATGGAAACGTTTTCATAATCGAAAGGACCTTCTTGTGCTGAACACTATTTATTAGACTTTGAACTCTTCATTTGTAAGGTCTGCAAATATATTGATGCATAGTTTGTAAGGTTAGCTATTGGCACTGTTAAAATAATTCTATTCGTGCTATATTTTCCTTAGATACGTTGTAATACATTTTCTTGATAGCATCGTTGCACACGTCCATAATGATCCATCCATTCCTCATGCCTAGCGTAAATTGCTTCAGCTTAGAGGGTACAAGCCGAGGCTTGAGAAGCTAAAGCCTCCAAAATGAAGATAAATGCTAAACAGAAAAGTCGATATTGGATTTTGAACCCCATTGGAAATGATATTTAATAGATGTGATTGATATGGAATGGTATCTCCGATTGGTTATTTTTTTAGGATTCAAACTGGGACATCAACTTTCCCTTAAAGGCATTCTGATTTGGACAGATATAATTTAGAGACGCACTTTTTTTTTTTCGGTAAATAGACAAGCAAGTCAGCATTTACGTTCTTGTAACTTGTCTCTTCTTCTTTGTTCAATTATTTCATGCAAGAGTTTTGTTTTTCCCTGTTGTCTCTAAGCAAACCTTGCATCAGCCAAAATTCTTTTGCCGTACTGTTTCAATCATTTACTGAAGGTTCGTAGATCTTATCCTGCAGTTTCCTGTGATGGTGATTGATTCAAGTAGGCTTGTAATGTGAAACAAAATAGTGTATTCTTAAAATATGTTCTTTCCTCTTTTTTTATTTTCAGCGATAAGAGTCCATTGAAATTATCACACATTGCTCAGATTCCTTCTTATCCTATCTTGTTTCACGAGCTCCACTTTTCTTTAACTTTGAATTTGTAACCTTTGCTATATTTTTTTTCTGTGTTTTATTTTGTGTGGCTCTATATTGGTCCTCTTCTTGTAGAAGGAAATCTACAATAGCCAACATGCTACACACACGGAGAGAAAGGGTTGGAGAGACATGAAATGCCTTTATTCAGTTGCCTTAGTTGGAGGAAAAGTTTGAAGCTCAGGAATGGAACTTGGGGTCTGATTGAACATATTCCTCCAGAACTGGAAGGGATTTTTTTGAAGACAAAGTTATATTCAAAATTGAGACTAGGCCAAAAAATTTAGTAATTTGATTTCACATTAAAAAAACATGTCATCTAAATTATTAAGTGATTTGCTTCATGGATTTTTTTTTTTATTAAACAAGATAGTTATAACAAAAATAATTATATGGGCTAAACTTCTTAACAATTAGAAAAAAAACGGATAGTAAAAAAAAAAAAAAAAAGGCTAAACTTTCTAGCTATTAGGAAGAAAGTGGATGTAGTTACAAATGAAACTAGAACATGATCACAACAATTATAGAGGAATATGAAGTGTTGAGAAAGTGCAGGAGAATATGGAGCTTTATGAAAGATCACAGAGAAGCAGAAACTTATAATACAAGCTCTAGTGAAGGAAAAAACGATCAACAATCAAGAATCGACTCCATAACATTTACAAAGGACAAATAATCAACAATCAACTCCATAACATTTGCAAGCAATAAGAAAACTCACATAGCACTATCTTAAATTTCAACACTTTCGAAACTTGTTAGATAATAGATTGTAGGCAATAATTAAAGTAGATCGATAGATTGACAAGTCATAGATTTGCAAGTTGATAGTTTGGTTTTATTTTGTATCTACAATCACTGTTTTTGATTCTTAAAAATTGAATTCTTACGAAGATCCACAAATACAAGGTCAAGTGGTTTAAGCTGGTTTGGATGCCCGTTCATATAATGCAGGTTCATCTGGTGGCTTGCAACTCTCAGTAGTCTTTCCACCAAATAAAATAGGCAAGTTGCAATGGAAAGAAAAATTGGTGCAACTATTTTAATTGCTATGTGGACAAGACAATGAAGACGGGGATCACTTATTTACTTATGCTGTTCCTATTCTAAATCTGTTCGGAGTAATCATTTGCTGTTGGGATTCTAAATTTTAGTGGGTCAAAATTTATTTGCAAAATTAAGCTTGATTGGTTTGTGGAAGGAAAGGAAAGAAGACTTCAGTGTGCAGTGCAATCTTGTTGACACAAATTTGTAAAGACGAACAATTAATATTGCCAAATTCCACAAACACACAAGTACTTCAGTACTGAAATCAACAAGCAATGCATTCGGTAATATTAAGCTAAGAACCATAAATATCAGAGTATTCATGCAATATTTCACAAATAATCTCAAATTAGAAAGACTCACAAACAATTCGAAAACCACAAACAAACACAAGCTGAATCACACAAACTCGAAACAAGCTAAAAAAATCCGAATTAATGTGATAGCCAAAACCTAGGCTGCTCTTGTTTGTTAATTTTGAAATTTTAACCATTCTTATTTAAGGTGTAGATGAAATTAAGGTCTAAAATTTAGATTAATCTGATAGTTCTAACCCTCAATTTATTTCAGCGTAGCTAAATTTTAGGTAATAATTTTTAAAGAACTGTAGTCTAACTCAAAGTAGAACCAAGCTGAAACTTATGTGATTAAAATCTAAAATTAAAAAAGTTTTAATTATGAATAAATAATGGCATAAGCCAAGACCTACCTATGTAGATGTCAACACTTACATGAGGATATGCACGCAAACATCTAAAGTTAAGAAAATTACCACCTTGTAAGTTTAACGAAGATGACAAAACACTACATTGAGTGATCAAATAAAAAATATGTTCGCCTTCCTAAGACAAGCACAAGAAAAACAGATAAAGAGACAAAAGTTTTGTCAAGTTTGTTCTTTCAAAATATTCAAAAGCTCCCTTACAAAAGATGTATAGAAATGCTTAAATGCTAGACAACTCTTAGCCATTGGCTAATTAGGAAAATAATAAAACCATAAAATAAAGTTAAAAAAATAATTTTAAATAGGGGGAAAAAAAACTTCAAACATGAAAATGACTAAAATAAACTCTTAAACTAACAAATACTTAGCCTAAATTAATTTTGGATTTTTTAAATAACATAACTAATTAAAATAAATGAAATAATACATAATTCAGCCCCCAAAAATTCAGCTTGAAATTCTCGGCTTCAATTCCGTGAGCACACTCTTGGATCACTTATCCAACATAAATTACTGATGGTGTTTAGTTAGTCAAGTTTAGATTGCAGATTACCTCAATTCTGCAAAAAGCTCTTGAAAATTCCAAAAATACAGACTTAGTTTGTAACTATTGGAAGCGTGCTAGGCTTTAATTTAAATAGAAATAGATTGATGATATAGTGATTACAAAAGAAATTTCTTCTCTCTCAAAAAT